GCTGATATAAAACTATGGGTAATGATAAATTCATCTGTGTTTAATAATTAAATGAGAGGAACAAAAATACCCTATTATATATATTCTTGGTTACTAGTTGCAATATCTAATAATGATACTCTTGTGCTTGTTTGTTTGTTAAATCGTGCACAAAGGCTTCCTGCATTAGCCATCCCTGATTTTGAAGTGACAAACTAAAGGAAAGGCAGCTAGTCAACACCATCCACCACTAAATCTTAGGCTACTCTTTACCAACAAATAGTGAGATTGACCATCACATTATAGTCCCCCCACAATTGAATGGGCAAAAGAGTTTTCAATACTATGACCTGCAGATTGTAAGTCAAGCATTCTAACCATTACATTCTGCTAAGCCAATACTCTTTTGATTTTGCTGGTAAAGCAAACTACACAGGTCTGAAAACTAAATTTGATCTAAATCCAAGGAAGACCTGGAAGACTTTGAAGAAAGAGCCCTCTCATCCCCACCTAAAAAACCAAGTTGATGACACTTCGTTATTTGGCCCCACGGTCATGAAAACTTACCAGCCTTCTTAGAACATTTTAATTCTGAAGACAAAAGAATCCACTTCACCATGGAAATAGAGGAACAAAACAGCCTACCTTTCTTGACATACTCATCAACAGACAAAAGAGAAAAATCACCACAACTGTATACAGAAAACCCACCCACACAAACAGACACTTACACTTCTAGTCCTATTATCCAACCTCAATAAAATGTGGTATAATCCAATGCCTAAGCAAGAGAGCAAAAAGCATTTGTGATAAGACATCCATCGAAATAGAATGCCAAAAAGATCGTAGAGGGTTTTAAACAGAATGGTTACACCTCCTCCTCCATCAAAAACTCCCTGAAGAAGACCACAACAGAAAGAAGAAAATAGAAAAAAACACTACCACTACTACCGTTTACCTCCCCTACCTGCAAAATTTCAGTGAAAAACCCAAATGCATAGCCAAGGAATTCAACATAGAAATCTGGTGGGAATCCTACAAGACATTAAGGTCCATTCTGGTAAAAAACAAACAGTAACCTACCAATGAGAAACACAAAAACATTTATGAAATCCCATGTTCCTGCAATGAAACAACACTGGAGACATGGGAAGAAGACTTGTGCCAAGAACAAAAAAGACAGGACAAGACTCATGAAAACACAAAATTCAGCCATTGCAGAACACACCCTGTCAACTGGACACAAAATACACTGGGAAGAAACTAGAATCATCCACACTGACAAATTTTGGAAGACAAGAAAAATTAAAGAATCATTTTATATTAACGCAATTAAACCTTACTAAACAGAGATTCCGGATTAGAGGTGAGTAACCTTGGCTACCATTGGTTGAATCTACAGGAAATCTCTCCTCCAATCAGAAACAGGGATAAACCAACCAGTCATAACACGCTCTCCACAATCCACCATAATACTATAAAGACCAACAACACCTTACATACACTGACCTGAAGGCAAAGAGCGGAAGACTTTTGAAACGTCATCCTCTACACTTGTTTCTCTACAACAGTCAGTTGCTGTCCATTCTACAAAGTTTCACCAGTATAAAACAGCATTTCAATTACTATCTTATAACAACCATAATCCACTATAATCATGCTTTGCCATCTTGGAAAAGGTGTTCACACCATAATAGTTGTTGCTGTAACAAATGGCTTATATAAATAGTGTTCCAACCACTACTGTGTCGTTTGTGTCTCAGCCAGACCGCTGAGCATAATTTGTCATCAGCAATGGATATGGTGAATATAGTGTGGTTGAAATACTATTATTGTACACTCTTCCAATTCAATGGATATGGTGAATATAGTCTTGTTGAAATACTATTTAATACTATTATTGCACACTCTTCCAATTCAATGGATATGGTGAATATAGTGTGGTTGGAATACTATTATTGCACACCAACCACACTATATTCACCATATCCAAAATACTATTATTGTACACTCTTCCAATTCAATGGACATGGTGAATATAGTGTGGTTGGAATACTATTATTGCACACTTCCAATTCAACGGATATGGTGAATATAGTGTGGTTGAAATACTATTATTGTACACTCTTCCAATTCAATGGATATGGTGAATATAGTGTGGTTGGAATACTATTATTGCACACTCTTCCAATTCAACGAATACAGTGAATATAGTGTGGTTGAAATACTATTATTGTACACTCTTCCAATTCAACGGATATGGTGAATATAGTGTGGTTGAAATATTATTATTGTACACTCTTCCAATTCAACGGATATGGTGAACATAGTGTGGTTGAAATACTATTATTGCACACTCTTCCAATTCAATGGATATGGTGAATATAGTGTGGTTGGAATACTATTATTGCACACTCTTCCAATTCAATGGATATGGTGAATATAGTGTGGTTGGAATACTATTATTGCACACTCTTCCAATTCTTGAAAATCCCTAATGGATTAGATATGAAATGCTTTGCTAAAAACACAAGAGGTATAATACTAACGTGTTATGAAAAGCATAATTAATTATTCCGATTATTGTTTTAGTACATTGTACTATTTACTCAGACCCCTGTATGACTTGTTGCATTTACTCTTTCTTGTAATATCAGTCATCCATTAACACCAATCTTAAAGAAAAAAAAAAGGCAATACTAGTAAATTATGTTTAATACTTTATGAATGCAGTAATTAGTTAGTTTTTCTGGTATTGTCATCATTTAGTATTTTGTTTATGTTAAGACATTTTCATCATTTTCCCAGCTGTAGTCAAATGAAGACTTCAGCTCAGCTCTAATAAAAAACAAAGTTTGTACACTGTTATGAGAAGAGTAATATACATTCATCTCATCAAATTTTAATCAAAATTAAACAAAGTTTAATTTTTGTGGTTGTACTAAACAAGCATTCTGTAAGGAATTTAATATCTCACACATTAAATTTTTATGTAAATAAAAGGTCATCAAAGCTAATGTATACGAAATATATTTTGAAAGGAATGTTCAATACCAATATTTGTGCCTAACAATAATAAACAGCTTGAATTTTGAAGTACCATAAATATTGTTACAGTTTATTCCTCACAGAATAAATTTCCTACAGCAAAGTGTTATGATAATGTAGAAGCTTTTAACCTTTTTTTTTATTAAAAAATTCTGTTTTTTTCATCATGAATACTGACTGTTAAGTCTGAACAACTCATTTACTCAACACTAAACCCATAAACATTTTACAAAGACTTCTATGTTTAAAAAAATGTTTTCAAAGTGCCAAATCAAACTAGTTCTTTAATGTACATTCCTCTTAGAATAGAACACATGATCTATACAATGCAAATTTTTTTTTTCCTACAGGTGCTAGTTTAGATTTGAGTAAGCCTTTATTTATACTTTTTCTGTTTTGAAATAACACTTACAGAAGCATTTAGCATTACTAACTGTGATGGAAGTGTCAAATACCATATTAATTATAAACTTTATTTGATATATGTTTTATTTATACTTACCATAGTCTTACCAAATAAAACCATGGTAACTTTACACATTTAACAATCTACTCAATTTTAAACAAATCTGTTATTACACTCATTGCATACTACATGATGTTCCATTTTTGTATGCAGGAATGATATAAAGAAAAAATAACAGTTTTGATGATGGATGCTATTTGTTAGTCGTGGCAAAATAATAAGTCCTAATTGTTCAAATTTATGCAAATTAACAATAACTACAATTTTATAAGATATTTTTATTAAAGATTGACTCCTTGTGTAAATAACATGTAAACTCTAACTAGTTACCTACAAACTTTAATAAATTTGTGGTTAATTACTGATTAACTGAAATGCAAAAATTACTTAAAAACCAGTAAAATGTTTGAGACATTTAATGAAACCTTATCTGTTAAGTCAATCTTAAGTTTATCAACAATTGTGCACACTTCCCTTCACAGCATTTATAATTTTTTTTATAGGTGCAAAAACTGATTGGTGGTTGCTTTTCAGAACATGTACAAGCAACTTAATGTACCATATTAGCCAGCAGTGGCCATACTTAGTTGTGGGCCCTTGTGTGGGATAAATTGGTTGTGGAGCCAGGACAGAGCATGGTCAAAGGACAACTGGTAGAATAACAATTGCCAGTTACTGACATCACAGTCTTTCTGAAAACTTTGCTGTTCTCAGTTTGCCACTGTTCATTAGCAGCCTTTTAAATTTAATTGGATTAAAGCTTGGTGGGTTCCATAGAGCTCGTGGGCCCCTGTGCACTGCACACCCTATATGGCCACATTGATACTAGCAGCTTTACATTATGAGAAAACTGCACAATTAGAAACATTTTTGGTATGTTTTAATCTGAACATGGTTATTGGGTTTCAAATGTAATATTATTTTTTAGTTTTTAAGAATGTTCGATTAAAATGTATTAGCATAATACTTGTAATGTTGGTGATTTACATAAAATTGTATGCAATTATTCACTTAGAAAACTTTATTTCACAAGCTTTATTTACATACTATATATTCATAGAAGATATTTACCAAACATTTTTTAATCCCAATTTTTCTCATTAATATTTGTAATGTATTTATAATTATAAATTACAACATTCTATAAAGGTGTTGTTTACAGCACATTGATGAACACAGCTTTGAGAGTCAAATATTTTTTTATGTAAGTTATTTTCAACAAAATAATGTCTTAAGAGAGAGGCAACCGATTGTCTAAAAATAATAAAAAACATATTCATACAGTTGAAATTAATAATATTTACAAGATATCAATCTCAATGATCACACGGATATATATACACATTTACTATGATCCCATAACCTTAACATATTGACACAAGAGTCTGTGTTTCATAATGTCAGATTAATGTACAGAAATGCCTTTCATATCATACCATGCATTATGAAACAGCAACAGAGAAGTACTTAAATGATATAATCATCAGATGTCCTTCAATTTTCTTTCTTTCTTTCTTGATTAATAATACCTTGTGGTCGGCTGGTTTGAGAAGTTGTGACGAGAGACATTTTGTGTTGAAGGAAATCCATGCTAGCAGAACAACAAAAATTTCTTGAGAATAAAATTATTTTAAGACTAGAAAAAAATGTAGGCATAGACAAATGATGCCCTAAATTCCTTTAAGACAAATCTGTTAAAACTTTGAGGAGCTTTAAGAGAAATCTAACAGGATACATGTGTCATTTAGCAAGAAGTAAGTCATTCACATTATTTTTGAATTTAAGGAGTTACATTACATTTCCCATCTATTTAACACATAGTGTTATTTTTATAAAATGGTATTTTGGATAGATCTGGAGAAACCACAATTGTTTTTCTTTAAATAAGACATATTTGCAAAACATCTATATTATCATGTGTACAAAATATGCATCTTGACCTACAAGTCAAATGTCACTAACAACACACAGAACATTAGAATTTGGACAAATGATTCTAGCTTCTTGATGCTAAATTTTCATGCTGAGGAACTGGTTTCTTCTATTTAAACAGTGGCTGTATTGGCTCAGAGTAATTACAAAAATTTGAAATAAAATTAGGTTATTTCAAATCTATCCAATATATATGGATAAATCACGAAACCCATATAATTTAAAAAATTATTAAAACAAACATTTAAATGAATTTTAATTTATTTCATTAATTACTAGATTCTTAATCTTGGCTCAGTTTTGAGTTGTTAAAACATATTCCTGACAGCTCACATTCAAATACAGCATTCAGCCGATATGAATATTTATATAATTCATTAGTCAAGTAAATGGCAAACAATCGACAGCCTTGAAAGCAAAGATAACTACACATTTTGCCATAACTTCCAAAAATTAGCCAACATCTGTACATCATGAATGAAAGAAAGCTGTATGTGTTGGTTTTCTAACTATCACTTTTTTTTTCTGCTATATTGCATGTTTCAACTGATATCATTATGCCAGTGCTACCACATTTATATACACACATTTGTTTACATCAGATAAAACCATTATCTAGCAAACTGGGAGGTAAACAAATTATAGGCAACTGGCAGTGTTAAACATTATTTGATGGAATACCATTGTTATTAAAACTGAGTTATTATTTTAATGTTAAACACATAGTAGGATTATACTACACTGAAAATCCAATATGGACTGGAAAATGGGTGTACAAAAGTGTGGAAACTCATAGTAATATTGTATTATTTCTTTATGTTCATATTTATATGATGTTACCATCTGGTAATTATGATCAACCCCAAGAATTGTTAAAAAATTGTTGTCCAAACCTTAGTTATATTTTCATAATCCTTTTGAAAATAAAGAAAATAATTAATGCCACTACATCTCATTTTATAATATTGTAAAAATAAAAAAACCTTAATGCATCTTATGCATTGTTGAAATATACCAGTTATTTAAAGCTTTTAGCAATAGAACATATTACTAAAATATATTGAAACCAAATGAAATTTTTAAAACAAGGAAGAAAAAAAGGTAGTTCAAATGTGTTATACACAAATACATAAGTTCTTAATTCACCCATAAAAACTTATTAGTATATTTTCTGAAAGTGATCAGGCTATAGGGTTACTTAAAAGTTTTATGTGAAAAAAAAAGTAAACACACAAACAAGTCAATACTCAATCTTCTTTTTCAACAAGAAACTGAAGCATTTGATTTTGAAACACTTTTGGCAACTAGTTTCATGGCGTCAACCAAGAACCATGATTGATGTCATGACACTGATCAATAAACTAGAACAAGCAACTGAAAAGAAATAAAAATAAGTTTTGTTCCCGATGATTAAAATAATCTGGAGTAGGAAGCAACCTCTTGAATCTTTACAGGTTATAACTTATATTGTACATTTTATATGGTTTTAACCTCAATATTAAACAGGGGATAATAGAATTTTAGGTTAACATAATTTAATGAGTAAAAATCAATAAATTTGTTCCTACTTTCTGTGTGAGCGCATACTAAATAATGCAATTATAAGATGAATGAAGTTTACCTGAGGTTGGTAATGAGCCACTGATGATGGTGGAGGTGGTTGAGCTCTAACAGGGTAACCAGCAGTGATCCCTCCAGGCTATAAGAACAAGAAAAACTTTAACCATTCAATTATTTTTTTAAAATGTACAGTGTAAATTATTAGGATGAATACAATAACAAATTTGTAAATAGTTTTCACTGTTGTACTTTTCTGTATATTGTTTAAGTTAAAAAACGAATTACATTTACCTATCAGGTTAAAGTGGTACATTCAACAATTTCTCCATCTATATGACAATAGCATAACATCAGAATACATAAAGCACAAGTGTTCTCTGTGTGTCTATGTGTTCACACCTGCATTTTTTCACTGACCTAGCATGCACCCTTAGACCTCACTCTCGGATGTGTCATAGAGATGTGAGCATTTGAAGCTGCCCCCCATAGCATCCCTGGTGGTCATTTGTTTGTGGTTATGTCCACCTTTCACACCTATAGTTTTTGACCAATGCCAATAGAAAATGTTCAAGTATAACTAAAACAAAAAACACATTATAAGTAAAATAGTTGTATACAATTTTTTTCAGACACACGTTGTATATTTATCCGAGGCTTTAATAGTCCCACTCATTAGTGCTTCCTCTTCTAAGATACCACTGTAGACTTCTGTTAAAACCTCTATTAGGGTAAGTCATTAATTTACTTTTTTGATGTTACTCTTTTCATATTTTACATACCAGTCACGGTGTTAAATGAGTTAACCTTCAGGCTAGTTACTACATTTCGTTTAGTAAAATTTGTTATGCCAGGCAGTTTTCTGCCTTGTTATACTAATCAGTATTTTACTCCATTATAATAGTAAAATCGAACTATTAACACTAAAAACATAATTTTAAAATGTAATTTTGTCAAAGCTTAAATTAAGAAAGATTATTTTGAAAGTAATTGTACATCTAATGTACATTTTTATACTTTTTCCTTTATGCTCACCTATTTAGGTTCAATTAAGTAAACACAAATGTATTATAAGGCTACTGCAGTGATGTTTTGGTTAAAAATAGAAGATATTTCAAAGTAACCAAGTAAGAAGATTTTTTTGGAACTAATTAACTTTATATGTATAAAAAAGATGAAATAGCAGTTCAGCCAAAATGAAGTAAAATATTTCACATGTTTAAATAACTAGTTATCACTACAGTAGTTTCCTATAAATATAATGCTAATTCTGCTGCTACAAGTACAAAGTTACCATTTCTAGTACTACTGTCCAGACTTTTGAATGTTTTGTATTCTGGCTGTTTATGAAGAAGAATGTTGTGTTAATCTAAAGATGTTAAGAGTTAAAGGTAGCTCAGCCTTGATCATGTGGATTTTTCATGTGTCTGTCTCATCCCTACCCATGCAGTAGATATAGGTTGTCGAATGTTCAGATCTGATGTCTTTATGTCTCTTTACATCTGAGAAAGATTTTTGGGATTAGATGTCCACTACCTAATACAATAGGCTAGCAATATTGTAATGTCCCAGTAGAAATAGTTGAATCCTGACCAATATTTAAGGAATTTGTTCACTTAACTCTACTGAGCCTAGGTGGGCACATCAAGGGAATATCTTGCACCATTGCATTATAAACATCATAGAAATTAAACTTGTAGTCTTTCTTCCAATAACTAAAAACAACAACATCAGAGTTGAAATTTAACAAATAAAAAAAGGTTTATTTATTTAAATGTAAATAGAAAAAGTTAAAAATTTTGATTTTGGGTTTTCAATAAAAGCTTAATGTTCAAGAATTTCATTTTTGTTTTTTTTCTGAGCATAATACAGCATTCATAGCCCCTTAAGAAAAAAGTGGAAATAGTTTTATTAATTACCAATCCATGTTTGTCAACTTCAGTTGTCAAGGTGTGATGTAATCTCCCATATATTACAGCTTTGAAAAGTCTTCACTAGTTACCTAAAGATGCAATGGAAACTATTTTTCTGTTCTTTTTCAACTATATATATGCAAGTGCTTTCAGTTCATTAGAAATTTTCTACAGAACAAGGTGATAAAACCTTAGCTTGGCGTATCTTACTAGAAAGAAAAATCTTTGTGAACAGCTTGTGCCATAATTATAGTCTTGATTTAATTTAATATAAAGCTTCAACATTGTATACTTCATTTGAATTATGATAATGAAAATAAATGTTTTTAGTGGAACAAGATAAGGTAAGCTTAGCTAGATCATTTAGTACTCAACTATATCAAATTTCATTTCATCGACAAGACCAAATTTACATTAGGCCTAACTAGAATGATTAATTAAAATCAAAAAAGATATGTAAAATATGTGTGTGTGTGTGTATATATATACATACACACACACACACATACATATACATACATTTAAAATTGTTAATCAGAAGTTATCATGTAATATATGTAATAAGTTTTAAACCCATTATATATATGTATGCATCTATAATAATAAAAGGCCGTGTCTGTAGGTCTGTGTGTGACCACCATAACTCCAAAAGGAAAGAACCTAGAAACCTGAAATTTTGCACACACATTAAGTATTGAACCTTCGTATTATTACTTGTTCACACATGCACATACGCATCTTTTTAATGAGGTAAGCTAGCAAAAAAACAACACATAGAAAAGAATTGTGACCACCATAGCTACAAGGGAAAAGAATCTAGGCAACTGAAATTTGCACCCATACTGAGGGTGTGCACCTATTACTTATCCACATGCACATCTTTTTAATGAGGCAAGCTAGTGAAAAACCACACAGAAACGAAATATGACCACCATGGCTCCAAGAGGAAAGAACCTTGTGATATTTTGCACTCATACTAAATGGACACTGAAGGTCTGCACCTGTGTATTATTACTTATCTTAATCATGTGCGTCTGTGCATGCACATCTTTTTAATAAGGCAAGCTAGCAAAAAACCACATAGAAAACAAGTAGTTCCATATAATACAGATTATAGATATAAATCACAGATAGACAGACACGCATGTGTGTGTGCATGTGCACATCTTTTTAATAAGGCAAGCTAGCAAAAAACCACATAGAAAACAAGTGGTTCCATATAATACAGATTATAGATATAAATCACAGATAGACAGACACGCATGTGTGTGTGCATGTGCACATCTTTTAATGAGGCAATCTAGCGTAAAACCACATAGAAAAGAAGTGGTTCCTTATATAACAACTTCTAATACATAGAAAAGCCAGTACATGTTGGTAGCAATGCATTCCAACAATGGCTTTTACATCATGTTGCTTAGCAATTAAACTATAACCTAATGTTGTTGTTAAGAGGCTATGTGCTGAAAGTATAAAATGAAATGCATAAACTACAAAGTTAAA